CCGGATCGGAAAAAATCGGATGGCCACGGCAGATACAAGTAATTCAAAATGACAGCATAATGGCTACGAAATCGTGCTACGATTTTGCGTCGATTGATTACTGATCCCCGAAATTAAAAATTATCCGACACTTTCTCTATTTTCTTTCTTACATATTTTCTTCGTGCAAAATTGCGATTCAATTACAATTACCACTCAAGGGAGTGTTAGGCTAATTAAATTTTATTTCGTATTTAATTTTGGTATGTATTTAGTAGCAAAATTCAATTAAATTAAGAAATACTGTCCAATTGTTCTTGTTTCTTTAGGAATTTTACATTTGTCAAACAACATCTATCGAAGTTATGATTGTATTCTTAACAATTTCGATACATGTTCTTTGAAAAATGTAAAGTTGAAAAAGAAAAAAAAAACTTTTTACGAAAAAAAAGATACGAAGACCGTAGTAAGATTAACTAGTTTTCATTGATCTAATATTCTACGATACCATTTGAGAATTCAAATATTGAAACGATCCAAGATTTGAATTCTATCTCTTCTGATATTCGTATCATTTCCGAGCTTTTTATTTCCAAAGATAGACCGTCAGCTGCCAAGCTTGCAAGTAGGAATTTCGATCCGCTTTGTCGGCGAGCGCGGACATGTGCTAACAATCCGAAGGACAGATTTGTCTAGCCATGGATCTCGCCTTCATTCCCATGATCGTGACGCAGAAAGCAACGACGAACGACGAGGGGCTCGCCGGGGAAATCCTCCCTTCGCAAGCGAAGCGCGCATTAACATCGGAACTCTTTGAAATTAAAAGCGAAAATACCCGTTCCCTCCGGGAAAAGCGAATAGGGACACTCGAAATCTGGACGTTGCTCCGGCTACCGGACATTGTTCCCTCTATATCGAATCGGAAAGAATTAATTACGAGCGGTGTATTATCTTTGGACAATAACGACGAACACCGGCAAAGCCCCGGGGAAAACCGGCGGTTCAAAGGGTGGGGAAAGGAAAAAAGAAAATGCGAGTTAAATGGAAGGTGGGCGACGAGGAAAGGAGAAGAGAGGGAGTGACCGAGTCGACGGGCAACACGCGAATAAATTATAATTGCATGATTCCTTGAGCCTCTTTAACGGCACGCCGCTCGTCGCCGCGAAATTGCTAAAATTGGCAGAAATGCGCCATGACCATTTTAATTACATCTCCGGTGTTCGTGCTGATTTTTCTCTATGAACTTTCATCCTCTAGAACACCGAGCGATATTCACAGTTCGACGGTTAGAAGGCAACGATGATAATTGAACGTCGCGCCGAGAAAATAATATAATGAACGCGCGGGAATATCTGTAAATTTCTGCTGGTAAATCAGAGAATTTTCCTTTCTTTTGCCTTTCCATGTCATAC